GGACGATTTTGTCACTTTTGTCACTCCAGTTTCGTGGCATCATCGATTAGGCGTTCGTAAGAATGATGCCGGGTATCCACGCGGCAGTACCCGATCTTCGAAAATAAAATCGCGCGGAACAGCTGGAAAAGAACCGGCCGGTGGAATGCGATGTTTACTTCGCGTTCGGCAGCGCGTCGCGTGTTGGCGCCATGCTTCTCGCTGGCAGAGCAATTTTAGCAAAGAGGCAGCAGCGAGACTCCGGCTAATGGAACGAAGTCGGATTCTTGGCAACGGGCCGAGAAAAACGGGCAGCGAAGGCTAAAGTTTCCCCGGTGTCCTCGCGGTGACAAGTTGAGGACGGGAACATCGGTTCTCATTTTTGGAACATTTTCGGTAGGGTTCGTCCGATTCCGTTTGTTCCCATCCTGCTTCGGACTTTATGTAATCCTTCAGCCTTATCTCTGCGACTCTCTGACTCGTTCGCATATATCTTCAACGCCAATACAATCTAGTCTCGTCGGAGTTATTTGCTGAGATTCGAGAATTTTTCTTTACGCTAATCTATTATATCTTTCTAATTTTATTAGAATCTGCAAAATGTACAGATGCTGCGAAATGATCGTACAACGTAATTTTTGCAATTTCAATTTCATTAACTGCTTGCGCTATTAATATGTCACTGCGAATTTTATGCATTTATGATAAAAATGAGCGGCTGTAATATAGCGTCATAATGGCGTAAGAAGAATTGAATGATATTGATACATTATTTCCTTCTATTATAAAAAGTCCAATTATTTATTATTATATATTTTATTATTATTATTTATTATTATATATATTAATAATTATTATCCAATTATTAAAAGAAGCAATTTATTTTTGTTCAATTTCTGTTTCTTACAATCGTCTTGGAAAATTATTATTTTGCATAAAGATACGCAGTCTACCGATAAATTCTTGGTCGTGGAAGAAAGTATTTACTGCATGCCAACGTTTACTTCAACGTTTAAATATTGATGATAGAATTTGATTTCAACTTAAAAGGCGCAAATAACATCTATATTTAGTAAATCGTGTTCCAAATCTCCATAACGAGTCTGACAAGACATTATAAGGGGAGAGCTTAAATGCAGGGTGCCCCAAAAATGTCTTGCAATCCGGAAATTGTGGATTTCTCAGGTCAATTGAAGTAACTTTTTCCTTGGCGAAAATGCAATTCACGGCTTTGTTTACGAGTTATTAACGAAAAACGGTGACCAATGAGCCACCGACGAGCTCGGCTTGCACGAGATTGGCCGAATCAATGAGCGGAACTGGGCTTCGTGCGCTCGTTGGCTCGGCCGCTTTGCGTCGGCTGAACTCGCCTCTGATTGGTCAGTGTTTTTCGTTAATAACTCGTAAACAAAGCCGCGAATTCCATTTTCGCTCAGGAAAAAGTTACTTCAAATGACCTCATTAACCCTCTATTTTCGAATTGCGAGACATTTTCGGAACACTCTGTATATTACATTACCTAACGGCCTAAAATGACCAGTTTCACATCCTTTACTTTAAGGTTGCTGAAATCGTAAAGATGCTTTTGTAGAAAATGATTGAATACATTTTTCAGTCCAAGCATACATTATAATAATAATGGCGAAGCGACTAAATGAATAGTCTTTTCAACATTATAAAGCAACACGCATTAGGTTTAGGTGCCTTTGGTTTATCGTCGGGCATAGTTAACTTTATATTTATCGCTTAAGGCATATTAAATTTTTTTATAAAAAGTAAAAGAAAATTTTTTTCAAATAAAAAATGTTTGAGAATATTTATGCGAATATTTTCAGATCTCGTCGGATAATAGAAAAATTGTTCTTAAGCTGTGACTATGATTTCTGTGTTTACTTGGTGTTATTCGGAGTTTGCTTCGCATCAATGCGAACCAGGTTTCCATCTACGTTTGAATGAATAATTTTAGCCACGCCATTTCACGGCGATACGACGTACATGACAGCGGCACCCACGCGACGGACTCGGTGCATCGACCATAAACGTGATCCTACCCACGGAAAGTCGCGCTTCCTTTGCGACAGCGTGCAACGCGCATCTTAACTAAACCATGCACGATCCATCCGTCTGATTTATTTTCGACGAAATCCAAACTTAGCCGGCAATTATGCCGCTCGTCTCCACCCCGTTTTCATTGTCACCGACTTCAACGGGCACCGAGTGAAAATAACCTTGGCACTTTCGCGTTATCTTCAAGGACTTTGCGGTGGACGGAGTCATAGTTCGGGACTACAAGTAGGGACTTCCTTCGGAACGTCCTATTTTTAGTTTTGGATATTTTTGAGATTTTTCCCGAAGCAAAATCGAGGAGAGATATGTGTACACCGCGATGGGGACGGCGACCTTGAGCCCACAATTTACTTCTAGGCTACTCGCAAATCGGGTTCGTTGAGCCACACGCAAGTGTGTTTTCTTGAGAGCGGGGCAACAAGCGAATGCTAATCATTTGATTCTGTCGAAGATACCTGGCTCCATGTGATAATCGACGTTTCATGTTCATTGGTTCGGTTACACTTGTTTTTTAAATACAAATTGAGGCTTCCATCTTTTCATTTTCTAAATAAACACAGGGACTCCCACTTTTATTGTTTAAATAAAAATAGAGACATCCACGTTTATTTTTTAAATAAAATCGGAGAGTTCCACATTTATTTATTTTTTAAAATAAAGATGGAAAGTTCTATCTTAATTTTTTAAATGCAAATAGAAACTTTCACTTTTATTTTTTTAATAAAACTAGAGACTTTCACTTTTATTTCCTTTTAAATAAACATAGAGAGTTCTATCTTTCTTTTTTAAATGAAAATACAGAGTTCCATCTTTATTTTTTGAATAAAACTAGAGACATCCTTTTATTATTTAAACAAAAACAGCGGCTTCCATTTTGTGTTACAATGTTTACCAAAGTGTTATGTTATATTGATTCAAGATAGATATGCAATCGAAAGAGCCAATCGCTTTAGACATTTTTGTAGCAGAAACAAGAATGAGAACTGAATGTTTGGAGAAGTTGTCCCCTTGAACGAGAGACACAAAGATGGAACTTTATTGAAATCCGCGTTTTCAAGTATAAATCCATGAATTTCTATTGTCTAATGGCTGGTTGTAAAATGGAGGAAATTGCTCGAGAAGCGCAGAGGGAAGAAGCGGGAGATTCGTGGAACTCGAACGAACGCGTTTTCCGACGACCGCTAATGCATTCGTCCGGCAGGTAGATCAACAAATCGATCGCTAAAATAGCCCGAGATTCACCGGTTGCGCTCATTGTTCGAGCAACAGCGGCACGACGGACGCCTCTATTTGGCAAATGAAGCCACCGTTGAACGGAAGGAGTGACGCGCGTTTGCCCACGGCCTTCCGGAAATAAATCGGTCACAGTGGCATCATGCGGGAAGCATTTACGACTCATTAACCTCCCGGGGATCAGAATATATCCGTAATCTTTATCACGAGTTTTTATACATCGCTGTTCCGAATACAAAGAATATATCTTTATCGGAAAGGATCGGAGATAAAATTTGAAATTTCATTCTGCATTTTCATTCATTCTCTATCGAATGCATCTACACCTTTAAGAATTCTTGCAAAAAAGAAGCAAATTTGTTTGTAGATGTTTCGTTATATGGGGAACGCTATTTCTTCGATTTTCATAAAATCGACTTTTCGTGTGTCGAGGTAATTCGATAATATAATATTATAATTATAGTATAAGATAATATAATATTATAATATTATAATTATAATATAAGATAATATAATATTGTAATATAATAATTGTAGTATAAGATAATATAATATTGTAATATTATATATAAGATAATACAATATTATAATACTATAATTATAATATAAGATAATATAATATTATAATACTATAATTATAATATAAGATAATATAGTATTGTAATATTATAATTTTAGTGTAAGATAATATAATATTATAATTTATTACATATAATAAATGCGTAACTAAATAATTAATAGATAACTAAATAAATAAATTCGGTTCGCGAAGGTATGTTACTCTACAACGTGTTAATATTTCATGAGTCGAACTCCATCAAACTAAACATCCAATTAGGGGGATAACTTCAAGCAGATATTAAATTAATTAACACCTCGCTGCAATAGAAAGCGCGACGAAAGTCAAAGGTTTTGCATTCGGGTCAAATTGATCGGCGCGCGAGAGTTAAAAAAACCGTGGATCTGGGTCAGTCTGACTCTCAGATATATGGCCAATTATCGCGTGGAACGTAAATGAACGTATCGCGGATCGGACATCGGCCTCACGTGCCAAGGTCGCGTCACGGGGTTCACGAACCTTAAGCACTATCGTATTCGCCACCTGGAAACCGTTTTCTGCGAAGACTGTCTCGTATTGTTCTAATATCAAAATAATATTTTCGTAGGTGCTACGATGTATCTTCGAAGCGACGATATTTCCCGTTCGACGAGATTGCGATTCAAATTCTGAACCCGACGAATTCCATTAGCAGCGCGGTGAGTCGGATCCGGTAACTCGTTCAACGTATACTAATCATCGATTTTGCAACGCGAACCGAGAATGGAATCCACGAATAAACGCGTCCGTGCGTGATTAATCACGGCTCGCTGGTTCATCGTTTCTAAAGCGTACTTTTCGCCTCGGCATTCGACCGAGGAATTCTAAACAGAGAAGGTGAACGATCGACGCGATCGATCGAGGTGGCACACGGTCGAAGCGGCCGGAAATCACGGTGGAGCGGTCAGAGACAACGATGCGACAATAACAACAACAACAAAGTGTGGGTCGGGCCTGGGAAACACGTGGCCCGATTACGGTGCAGACGGCCGAACAAGTGGCGGGTGGTGACATTGTGTGTGCTAGAAAAAAGGTGCGTCACTCAACATCGAGCAATTACAGAGTGGTGCCTTGTGTAACAACGATCATCGGGGGAAAACGTAAACGGGGATAGTCTCAGTACCTCCGGGTCCTGGATCTGCTCCGAATCCGCGGACGTGCTCGACGTCTTCAGGATGCTGTACAGCTTTACGTAGGGGGCCTTGATCAGCTGTTAGCCAATACAATCGGCCGTTTTTAGCGATTCTGTATCATCGGCTACTCCGCGTTCACTGACACCGATCCACGCGTCGATATTTCCGCCAGCTCGATTCATTCTCTTAACGCTAGAACTACCCTTAACGTGCACCACTAAGCACGACTAATGTGCATCGTTGAATTTTTATAAACCTAATACAATTTCTATTAGAGGTTGGTGCATACGAAATGTCGGAGTATTTTTTACACGCGAACGCTTGTCTCCCCGTTTTCGTTATGCTTTTGTTTTTTGCGTAACCTCCTTTATATTCGTACTGTCAATCGCCAGAGTCACATTTCAACAAAGAAGATTTCCTCGAAAGTGTTCCATTTTGTTATTTGTTTGGAATTTCGTAAGGATATGAATTCGACCGATATTCGTGTAATTTTTTTTATACGAGTATAAACTTGGTAATAATGCTGCCAAACCAGGCGTTTGGGAAGAATACTGTTAACGATCAAAAAGTGCAGCGCTGGTTTGACAATTTTTGGTATGGTGATTTTTTCCTACAAAATGAACCGCGTTGAAGACCCAAAACGTCTGTGAAAAATGCTGCTCCGAAAGCATTGGTCGAAACGAACGTGACTGGAGTCATTCCTTCGAACTGTGGAGTTAATTACAGCCGAATAGTACTGCCAGTACATTGATGAAATGCATGAAAAAGTGAAAATTATACGCCCATCGTTTGTTAATCGGCATGGCTCAATACTTTTTCATGACAACGCTCGGCCGTATACGTCGTACAAAACAATTGCGAAATGAAATGAATTAAAATATGAAATTTTGCAGTACCCAGCTTATTCGCCGGATCTTTCGCCAACCGACTTTCATTTTTTTAAACGTTTAGAACAGTTTTTACGGGTTAAACGGTATGAAAATGAAGACAGTCTGAAAAATTCCATATCAGAGTTTATCGATTCTAAAGATCAGAATTTCTTTAAGACAGTCATCTATGCATTAAAATCTCGTTGGGAAAAGTGTATTGAAGTAAATGGAGCGTATCTTGATTAAAGAAACAGCTTTTGAAAAAAGGTATGCAGTTTTATATATTCGCTTGAAAATCCGACATTTCATACGTACCAACCTAATAATTGAAATATTTCTATCGTATTTGTCAATAAAAAAATTAGAGTCCAAGTCGCTTTAAATGGTTTGGCACAGTTGGTTTGGGACAAAAAGTAATCTGATTAATGATTAACTAATTTACAATAATTTATAATAACTACTTTATTATAACGGGTTATATTCGTTAGTCATTAATTAGATTACTTTTCGCCCAATTATTAGACGCTAGTTATAATAATAATTAATCATTACTCAGATTACTTTTTGTTCAAAATTCTGGTTTGGTAGTTCTAGTGTCAATCCCATTTTTTGCTCGACGAATGAAATTTTTGCACTCTGTGTCGCACACTCTCCGCGATAAATTAATTCGAGGTTAATCAACATTTCGTTCGAATGAATAGGATCGTCAACTATTCTCATTAGATTTAAATATAATTTTAATTGTACTCGAACGTGATGGGCCACTCGAGTGGCGACTCCGAGGCGCTATTAAAAATTGTTATGTCACGTCGCAAAATAATTTTATTAATTAAATTTGTTTTTATTTAAAAAGCTGTTGAAACGTAACTGTTGCACGGGTCACAATATTCAATTTCATATGCAGAAAATACACTAGATCATATAAAATGGAAAAACCGTGGGTCGGGAAAGCTATTTTAAATTCGTTAATTCGGCTTCAAGTGCAAAGGGTTAAAATATGCACGTAATTGAAAAAGATCCTTTCTCGAGAATCAAATTAGAGAGTCTTCGTGGCTAATTACTGCGGTATCGACGCGTGGATCGGGACGCAGCTAGCAACTACATCTATTTTTCCTTTGTTTGAAAATGAAAAATCCTCGGCCTTGAAAAAACATAAGCTTTGGGACGAAGAAATGCGAGAGAAAAAAAGGAGTGCATGTCGTAAAAGAATATCACGATCTTGAGAATATGGTGCGATGAGAGAAGCGACGCGGCTCCGAACGAACGATGATATGACGCTCTTCTGCATGCCGATGAGAAACGAAAAGAGAGGCGAGAAGTGCGTTGATTGCACCGATGCTCGAGAAATAAAACTGTACACTGCCCACGGTGCTTTCGTAGCGCGAGACGATGCGAATGACGTGGTGAGCTCGGTGCGACGATGATCGAACGCGGGAAACTCAATCTGATGTATGTGATGTATGAATATGGTGGTCGAGTGATGTATGGTGATTCATTAACACGCTGAAGAATTGTCGCAAAATTATTCAATTCGTAATCGAAGCTGAAAGATTGATCGGATTATTTCGAGTAACTTGACGATTTTCATTTATGTAATAGTATCTCGCTTTTTAGTAATTTTGAACAATAAAAGTAAAGCAGTTGAGTTGCACAGTTAAATTGTAAAATATTTTTACACAAGTTACATAATTAACACTAGACTTACGGAGCCCAAAAAACAGCTGTTTCATATTAGTTTATAAAAATAACAATAACACATTTATTCAGATGTTTTAACAAGTGTTATTGTAACATTTGCCGCGTAAGTAACATAGAAAATGAATAAATAACTCATAAATGTATCTTTACGGTATGAATAAACGTAAATTAAAAAATTAGCGACCCGCCATTTTGACGAGTTCCGTAAATCTAGTGTCAATGAAAAAGTATTTTTATGCAATTTAAGAATTGCAAGAACGTTATCTCTAACGATCCCAGTTCCTCTAACTAATTTGACGCTTCGGCAAGTGCCGCAAGTTCTAGCGGTACCAAAATGGCGGCGCTAGCAGCGTAAAGCAACACCGCAGACTATTTAGCATTGTCCTATTTATTTTCATACGAAATAAGAACCACGTGTCTTCAGCGTGTTAAAGGTGAACACGATTCAACGACGAAAGAATGCGTCGACGATGGCAATCGTCGGAATAATAGGATATTCGAATAAACACTCACCTCCCACGATTCCCTGGTCAGGTCGGAGATTTCGTCACCATCTTGACGTGCCTTGCCGTCCTCCGTGGATTCGCCGGCCTCGCCGGCTTCGTGGGGCGACAATTCCGGCGACAGATCCGTATCGGTGTCCGACAGGATGTAGCCCCGTTCCCTCCAATAATTTTCGTCGAGTTCTCCATAGAGCGACGGCACCCACGCATGGATGAACCTGTAGAGGTCGTCCACCCTGCGAGCAACAGAACACGTGCATATCAGTGGACCGAGAAACGTGTTTCCGCTTTGGCAGATCATTTTTTTTTTCAATTTCGAACAGCAATCATTCAAAAATTTAGAATCAAATCGAACGATGTTCTCAAGCGTTTGGAATATCATCGAATGAATTTTTCTTAAAATTTGGGACGTCATAAAATGAGTGTTTTTAAAATTTGAAATACGATCCGATTAGTTGTTCAAAAAATGTGGAATGTCATCGAATGAATTTTTCAAAAATTTAGAATCAAATCATACGAGTTTTTAAAAGAATTTAAAATGTTATGTTAAATGTTTCAATTGAAAATAATTTATTGAAATGAACCAAGTGTTTTAAATTCAAAAAGAGAAAAGGAAAATGAAATAAACTATCGGATAAATGATTTCAAAGACCGAAATTCGTAACTTCTATTGGTTGCATAATTTGACGATCACAATGTTGTATTTCACTGTCGAAAAGTGTGATCCAACTGACGTAATTCAGTTATCGTTGCATCGGAGCATTGCGCGACATACTGAACACTATTGCGTGTCGCCAGATGTTGACGTGTTGTTTAGCGTTGTTCAGTGTCAAAACTTGACACTAAATCTTAATCGTGTCATGGAACAATAAATGAATCTTTCGCACCGTTCTAGCGACTCCGGCGCTAATATTTAAACGATCGCGATAACGGAATTTATTTAATGGAATCATTTGCTCGATGAATAATTTATATCCACGAGCTACATCTGTCATAGCATTAACGTAATCCGATTAACATGCGAAATAGCTGGTTTGCAATTTCTTATTGCAGAATGTATCAAAGTCTACGATGTAACACACTTTTTATTTTCTTGGCTATAATAAAACATGCTTACTTAATACCAAACTCACCGAGCCGTTTAAAATTACCGGTTTCACATTTTTTAAACCGAGTTTCAGAAATCGTAAAGGCTTTTTCAGAGAAAACGACCGAATCAATTTCTTAGTTCAAACATGCATACAATAAAAATGGCGAGAGACCTAAATAAATAGTCTTTTCATAGTCATAAAGCAACTGTTGTTAGTCGCTTTTAGAGGTCGGTAAGTATAGTATTAATTTCTCTTCAAATATAGCCTCTTTATAACTTTATCGTGTCTAGTATCGCAAATTAAATCTGTGATTACTCATATGGAATCACTGCAGTTTAAACACTGGTTTCACTTATGCCAATGAAGACTGCAGATCTCAATACACGTTACTAATCCTGTATGTTGTTCGATGAAAGTTATGACAAACTGAATATTCCAATCATTCATTATAAAGATTCTACTGGATAAGATAAAAAGGTTGATACATAATCTGTTCCCTCCTATTTTATAAAACAAGCAGTAAGTAGACTGTGGATCTTTATGTAAAATAAAAATTATTCGCCTAAATTGTAAGGCGTAGAATCCAAGAACAAGTTCTTTTCTTTTTTTCACGATTTTAATAAGTTCAAATCGACACATCGACGTTCTTTGTTTCTTTGAATATTTATCACCGTTCCATATTACATCTACAGAGTGTCCGAAAATTATTGTACTTCCGGGAAATGTGGGCTTCCTGAGGTCATACGAAGCAATTTTTTCCTTTACAAAAATTTTCCCCGAGGTATCGTTCACGAGTTATTAACGAAAAACACTGACCAATGAGAAGCGAGCTCGGCTAATGCAAAGCAACGAGCCAACGAGCGGTCGAAGCTCAGTTCCACTCGTTGGCTCGGCCGCGTAAGCCGATCTTGCCTCTCATTGGTCACTGTTTTTCGTTAATAACTCGTAAACAAAGCCGCGGATTGCAATTTCACCGAGGAAAAAGTTACTTCAAATGACCCCACGAACCGCTCATGTTCCGGAAGATACCATCATTTTGGGACACCTCGTGTATTCATTTTTGCTATGAATGCTTAAAATTCGTTGTCTAGCCATAAGTGTACAGAATCCATATAGTCTACCTACTTCGGACTACGCTAGCTGTTTCATTTGATCAAAAACTTAATTAACACTAGATTTACGGAGCACACAGAAAACAGCTGTTTTATATTAGTTTATAAAAGTAACATTGAGACATTTATACCGACTTTTAACAAGCGTTATTGTAACATTTGCCGTAAGCAACATATAAATTGAATAAATATCTCATAAATGTATCTTTACGATATGAACAATCGCAAATTAAAAAATTAGTGACCCGTCATTTTGACGGGTTCCGTAAATCTAGCGTTAACTTGAATTAACTTAAATGAAAAAATAATTAACTTAATTAAAATGCAGAGCTTAAGTAAAACCGGGCATGTACCTTTGATGGACATAAGGCGCAATGTTCCTAACTGCTGGCGACACATGTTCGCTGTAAACGAAGTTTACCGCGTTGCTGACGGCGCTTAATGTCCAGTTCATGTTGCGATCGTGTCGTTCCGGTATCGATAGATGTATGTATATCCGATTGCAATGTCTCTGATACAACCGAGTCGGTCTCACAACTTTCTCTAACGTTCTATCGCGTGTCCCGTGCGTCGTCGACCCTGCAAGGACGTTTCCTACTTCTCAGACCACCGGTGCATTAATCCCGTTCGGTATTTCTCGGGAACCTAACAGATTCGACTATTTTTACACTAAACAAGCTGCATCTGGAACGATAACCGGGGAACCAACGCGTTAAAATTAGCCGTGAACTGGGCTTTCACATTCCAGATTTCTTTTCATACTCGCGCGACCTTGGAACACCCTAACACGCGATTACGAAGATTCATCGTCTTCTAAGATGATCCACGGAAGCGGTAATTGAACGGCGGAGACCTGTCGTTAACTACTGTTTATCTTACTTATCGTTCCTCCTTGCTCGTATTTCACGCGTTCATCGCTGACGCAACTTGTCGCAACGTAGCGAAATAAAAACGTCAATGAAGTTCTCGTTTCGCTGGCAAACTCGTAAAATCAGCAGCTTGATAAGACGGGCAAACAGATGCGTTTACGGTTCCTACAAATTGCATTCGTCCAGGCTGCGTCGTCAATAGAACGATCAGTTACGAGGTCCCGCGCGCGTAATTGATGGTTTCATTCTCCTTAACTGAGTATTTTCGAGCGATTCTTTTTTTTCGCGATTTGCGTGCTTGTAAAAGATGCTGAAAGGACATCGATGACGTCGATGACGCGCGCGATGGAGTAACTTTGAACGAGTTTCGCCGCGAGCATAGTTATTACAACCTTGACCCAGGTTATTCTCAGAAACTACGGGCGCGATCCGTTTGTTGATTCGAACGAGTGTTCTGTACGTTCGGTGCTATAACTGGAACTAGGATTACAGTAGTTTCTCCCTGATTCGTACTCAGATTGCGCACAAAAATGGACAATTTGGGAAAAGGAGATACGATTATTAGAATATAGGAACCTTAGTCATTTCTGCCTAATTCGCGCTCAGATTGCGCACGAAAATGGACAATTTTGCCACGAACCTTGCGTCTCGTTTTTACAGTTACCGATTGTCAACAACTATAAAAACGAGAAGCAAGGCTCGTGGGAAAATTGTCCATTTTCGTGCGCGCTCTGAGCGCGAATTAGGCAGAAATTACTGTATCTCGAAATGGCTAAAGTTCCTATATTCTTCGATTAGTTAAAACTAAATTTACCGCTGTCAAAACGACCGTTTCCTTATTTTGCAATTCTGCAAAATTCGGAGACTAAGTCATGGAAAATGCTCGAATGAATAATAATACTTGCGCCAATAATTTTATTTATTCAAGCATTTTCCATAATAGAGCCTCTAAATTTTGCAGAATTGCAAAATAAGGAGACGGTCGTTTTGACCGCGGTGTTAACCCTTTGCTCTCGAGTGGCGATTCTGAGGCGCCACTAAAAATTGTTTTACTATTTTTCAAAATAATTGTAATAGTATCAGACTCGTTTATATCTAACAAAAAACTGTTAAAATTGCAAGTTTTGTACTTGCCAATAGGCTTTCATACGCATAAATCGCAATAAATCATATAAAATAGAAACACTGTAGATCAGAAAACATGTTCAAAATATAATTAAAGTAGCTTCGAGTGCAAAGGGTTAATATTTAATAATTTGTCGGTAATAATAAAGCTTTCTGTTGAGACCAACAATTGTGGACTTCTTTCTGGTTTCTCTAGTATTTTAATAAACGTACACTGAAAATAATTGACGAAATCACTGATGAATTTTGCTAAATCTTATGCATTAAAATCTTATGCACTTAAACACTTTATGCATTTCGACAATAATTGAATTTAAATATTTTACGAACAATAACAGAAAGTTATAAGTTCAACTATGTATCATTTTCGAATTCATATTATAACATATTGTTAGACTGCGGAAATGCAAAATAAAAATTGTCATCATCTCTCATATCGAGCAGAAATTAGATAGAAATGTATTTCTTCTTTTAATGATGTTAGTACGATGATGTCAGTTTAATGGAAAATGTAGACGTTTGATTTTTAGAAAATTTGTAGACAATACGTTTACTCCTTCGATAAATAGCCTGAGGAAAATCGAGACCGAAAATTTGTATTATTCGATTGAGTCCGCTATCGTAGAAGATGCTATACGATACGTGAAACGCGGCGTGGGATGGTGCTCGAAGAGAAACTATCACAACACGCTGACGTAACAGAGAAGAATCCAAACGTGGCACTAGTTAGAGTCGCACCGGCTGACTGAGAGGAATTAGCTAAATGAGTCACGGAGGACTGTCTGCAGCCACGACGATTACCTAAGCTGACGTGTACATAAGTGTCGGTTGCGTCTCGCGGCTTGTAAATTTCAATTGTGTTCTCTCGTTGTTATGCGCGTCCCTTTTTTTTTCGCTGAATTGTCGACGCAACTATTCTAGCCGCTAGTGGCGTAAAACGACCTGCTGGAAACGGTACAATTCGTTCGAGCTCTGATCGGAATGAACGAAGAGGAGTTCACTGTATCAAATGACATAAACGCGTAGGAAATCATCCTGC